TATAAGTATTTATATAGCTGATTCCCAAACGATTTGCATTTAACCCGAGCTGAATTCAATTCGAGCTAGTTCCAGAGCAGCTTTTGTGATAAAAAGTTAACTCTGTGTCACTCATTCACTCAAAGGTGAGTCTACTATATGCCATGCCATTCCATACGGATGAACTTGCAATTATTTGGCCAATCTCTGTCAGATACGTCAATGCTTGACTAACTAACTAATTTAAACTGGTTGGCGCTTGGAAACCAGATCAAATTTCATTCATCTCGTGTATGCTTTGAGGGCTGTAAGCTGTATGCTGTGTGAATATTGAAAAGAGATCACGATACGGAAGGGGACTTTACATGGAAAGATACAGACAGAGATTCACACACTCATTATGGTATCAATTTGTTGGCCACTTTCACTTTTCATTTCCGAATGCGTCTTCAATGTCAATCAATGGGCCAGACATCCAAATATTTTTCCAGCCAACCGCATGGACGGATGTCTTCCTCTTTCAGTTTGGCCCCATTCCGGTGTGCGTCACTTTCCCAACGATTAACCTTGGCCCACGGCTCGTTATGGCCAGAAATGTGTTAAACAAATTATTTGTTTATCTATCGCTTGACGACTGTTGTTGATCTTTTTATTGGCAGTGGCATTGTGGCTATTGGCCAACTGCATTGATGGCATTCCATAGAAAACGTGGCCTCAGATCGCTGTCAATAAATTGATTTCAACTCTTTTTCAATCGTTACAAATATGGATTACTAATATGCTCAAAGAGTTGCTGTTCCAACTCCCTCAACCCCCCGACCCCCCCGTCGATTTGCATATGCTGGGCTATTTATCAATATCTAAGTGCCTTCGGTGTTAATGCCATCCGACATAACCGTGTAGTAGCTATTGTCTCTTCGGGTATTACAGCCCAATCCCAGATCCAACAATGAGGTAGCAACGGCAACACGCTTAAAACAATCGCCAAGACTTGCTTCAGCCAGCAAAAAACAAAAACACTTTCCATAGTCTTTCGTGATGAACACAATAACTAATAAAAACAAAACAACAAATAAAGCCCACAAAAACAAAGACAAAGCAAAGCAAACAAAATAAATATGTAAACACAATAATAATATACAAAGAAGAAGGAATGGAAAAAACTGAATTTCCAACGAGGGGCAATCTCTCGATTTGCCAAGAGTTCGCATTGACTGACTAATGGATTGATTGAGTAACTGATATTTTTGATTGATTGATTGACAGCTTGATCTACTGATTGACGGAGTGGCTGCTTGACTGATCGCCTAAACTATTAATTTGATTGATTGGTTGACGATGATTAAGTAACAGATTGCTAACAGATTGACTTGTGCTGGCTGATTGAATGATTGATTAGGTGATTCTCTCATTGATTGACTGACTGAGCGACTGATTGACTGATTGACTATGTTGATTTATCGTCTAGTTGATTCATTGTCTTAATTATAGATTTAATTGATTGACAGATGATATATGATAACAGATTGATTGACTTTTACTGACTGCTTGAATGATTGATTAGGTTATTCTCTCATTGATTGACTGACAGATTAACTGATTGACTATGTTGATTTTTTGTCTGATTCCTTGCTGATATAAATTATAAGTTGATTGATTGATTGACAGATGTTTAACTAGATGTTAACAGATTGATTGACTTTTAATAGCTGATTGACTGATTGAATTATAAGTTTGATTAATTGATAGATTGAGAAAAATAGACTATCAACTATATGCTAACTGAATTATAGATTGATTGACTAGCTGTTATACTGGCTGATTGATTGAGTGATTTACTGGCTGATTGACTGACAGACTGTTCGACTGGCTGATAGACTCTGGCTCACTTTTTGATTGACCAACTGATTGATTATCTGATTGGCTGATTGATCGACTGTTGTACTGGCTGATTGATTGGGTGCTTTACTACTGACTGAGGAGAGACTGTTCGACTAACCACTTCATTCTATGTTTCACTTTTTGATTGACTGACCAACTGAGTATTTGATTGACTGAACGACCGTTAAACTGGCTGATTGTTTGATAGACTGTTCGACTGACCAATTCACTATATGTTTCAATTTTTTGATTGACTGACTGATTGACTGAGCGACTGTTTGACTAACTTATAGCTTATGTGATTCCCAGGCTACCTGATTGTGACTGTGGCTGTTTTATCATCAGTCATTGTGCATTAAGTGAAATTCGTTCTTGATAATAGCGCTCTTCTACGCGATTCTCAAACCCAATTGGTAAGTTTTTCAAGAGTTAAATTAAAAGCAGTTTGTTTATTAATTGCTTTCATTTTTTTTTAATTTACATCAGGTATATAAACATTTAAGCTCAACTTCGTTACAACTCTACGAACATCCCTCGTTTGACGCATAAGCTGACAGTCAGGTGGGCTTTTTTTTTTTTTTTTTGTTGGCTGCTGGCTGTTGGCTTGCACACCTTGCTGGCTGCTCTGCCCCTCGACCTCGCACTCTCTCTTTCTCCCTCGCTGTCCCGGTTTCTTTGTGTGTCTCTTTTTCTCTGCTTCCAGCTAATTGATACATAAAGCATTGGCAGCCAAAACGGCGGCGGCATCGATGCGTATTTTTGTTTTGTTTTGGGGCGTGTGTGTATTTCATGTAATATTTGAGGCTTGGAAGTTGAGATTCATTGATTGGTGGCATTTATTATGCATGCTTCACATGCAAATCTGAATGGATGTGGAAACATACACACACACATGCACAATTCATGCGTAAATACAGCTACAGGTATGGGACGGCCGAGTGGGGAGAGGGGAGGGGGGGGGGAGCTATAAAGTGGAGCGCAACCGGCCAACGAGCTGATCTTTAATGGTTTTTTAATGCGCGGCAAACGCATTGGCATCATTTCGCCTCCCCCATCCCCGCATCTTGTTGCTCTTCATAATTAGCATGCAAATTGTGCTGGCCGCTTGATTAACCCCAATTACATTAATCAATCGGTCAATCGGTCAGTCAGTCAGTCAGTCAGCGCATTTACAAATGTCCTTCACGGCGAGCTGCTGTTGCCTTTCACCCGCAGCTGCGTCTGGAAAATCTTCTTCTTCTTCTTCATTCAATATTTTTTCCTACTTGTCTTTGACATGTGTGTGGCCTGGCCGAAACGCTAGCGGCTAAAAACGCATCAAAACCTAAGCACGCGCGCGTTTTCGATTTGCATTAAATCTTATTTTTTCTGACGATGTTCGCAACGTTTTGCCATTTACTAATTGCCATTTATTAACTATTTATTCGTTATTAACAAATTGAGCAATTTACAACAATGGCTAGCCAGGGTCAGCCCAACAATGTGAGCTACTCGACTCCACAAATACCCTGTAATCAGAATTATGTCAAATCAGGTTGAGATGAAAATAAAGTTTAACCTATTTATATGGATTAAAGTCGAAATTATATATAAATATATATA